AAGGGTGCCGACCCCTGGTATAGCATATATATTTCACTTAAACTGCTATGGCAACATGGAATCCTGGGATCTGCGCTTTAGGAAGGGCCATTTTGTATTCTTAGCCAGAGAGCTCTTGAGTTTCACTAAACTACAAGCCCCAGAATTCCATAGGAGGCAGCCATAGCAGTTAAAGTGGAATTGTGGAAAGTGGAAAATGCTAGAATATATGTGCTCTCACCTAATTATTCATTAATGCCAGTTAAGGTAATGATAAATGTTCATCCTTTTTACATTTACATTCTCTCTTAACTCACTAATCACATCCTCTCACCGCAACTTACGTATATGTTCTTGCTGAGGTCTCTCTCCATGCATCAGATGAAGTGCACTACAGTCCATAAAAACATAGGCTAAATAAAAAGTGTTACTGTTGGGTAGATAGTAGATCCTGGTTTTTGCGGGGAGGGGGTTTGATGCACAAAACCAATGCAACTACTCCCTTGAAAACTTTAAAAGGTATTCCTTTGTCCGGGGGGGGGGGGCGGGGGCGGGGATCAGAGCAAGTGCCAGTCAAACATGGCAGATTTGTTTCACTCCCATAATAGTCTATTTGGAGCTAGCAGATCTTGTCTGCCTTGTATTACCACCACTGAGCAACCCCTTGAAAAGGTGTACCTGCTATCATAATGCACCAGCATGAGTTCAGCCTGTGGATGCAATCCACTTCATTGACAGTAACCCTGTGTAGTAAGAAGGCTAGTTGCAGAATGTATAGCTTTAATGGATTCCTTGCTGGAGCGGAAACCACACATGCACAAAATCCTTCTAGGATTTGGCTATTTGCTGCAAAAGCTGTGATCAGTGCTGCTATCCTCCTGATAGCTTTCCGAAACTAAAAAAGCTCTTTGCAGATTATTTGAAGAGATTTTTTGGGTGCTACTGTTGCAGTAGTGCTAATAGTGATTGCTGCAGCACTGCTGAGGGTAGGGTCTCTTTTATGCTTCACAGTTATAGTACTGTGATTCTACTTTAACTGGCATGGCAGAATCCTGTGATGTTCTAGTAATTTGGACTTTAGGGAGGTATAATTTAGAATTTTCAATCACAGAACTCTTCTATTGTCCCTGACCAAGCTATAAACCCCAGGAGTCCATGGGATGAAGCCAGGAGAATCAAAGTGGAATTATAATGATAAAACTGTGCTGCATAGACAGACATAGAGGTCTAGGTCATAGCACCAGAGCATGATTGAGGGGGGTTGCAGACTGCCAAAAATAGTGCAAATTGAGTCCACTTTTAGGGTTAGGGTTAGGGAATCATGGGAACTGTATTTTATTGTGGCACCAGAGCTCTCTGACAGAGAAGGCTCAATGTCTCAGAAAAAAAAACAATTCCCATGATTCCCTAGCACTAGGCCAGGGCAGTGCCTCAATTTAATGTACACTATTTCTGGCAGCCTGTAAAGGCCCTAAGTCAAATTATCATGGAGAATGTGATTTGCCCAAGGTAATTTGGTGTGCTTCCATGGCTGAGCAGGGATTTGAATTTTGGTCTCCAGAGTTATAATCCAATGCTCAAGCCACTATACCACTCTGGCTGCCTTGCAGATGCTATAAATATCATTATTCTGAAGAATCATCTGATTAAGTAATGTTTGGTCGCTAAATGCAGTGCTCCCTCCCTGCCCTCCAAATATTGATGTCTGTGGTTTTCTAAACTGAGTACTTCCAAGCTTTTCCTGGCTCTTCATAAAACTCATTGAACTCCAGACATGTATTGCAGAGGAATTCTACTGTACCAGCTCAGTAACTAGATATTTCTAGAGCAACAATTGGCAATGACATGGTTGACACATGAGGAAGCTGACATCTCAGTTAGAGTTATTGTTGTAGTTTATCTGGCTGCAAATGCTGTGAAACGGTGCATCAAATTTACATTGTCCAACCTATTATAGAGTGGAGCAGGGGATTATGGTTACGGTATTTGGAGGGTCAGTTCCCTTAGGAGTTTTTTTATGTTCGTTAGAGGGTGTAAAGCCAGGGATTAGCTTGGGGTAAATCTGATTCAGAGGAAATATAAAGCAACTGCCTGAGGGTGTTTGTATATAGGCCTACTGCCAAGTTTCAGTTCTGAAACCAAATAATGGTGGTAGCTGTTTTTTCCTCATGGAAAAATGATCACTATGTTGTTAAGTAGGTGCCAAGTTTAATATTTGAAGCACATTGCTGCAATGGTTGAATTTTGGTTAACTCCTAATATATACATGGATCATGTTCTGTTTAAGGTAGCACTTTCCCATTTAGATCCTTAATGTGGGGAACTGTGGGGAACATGATTTAGGACAGTCTGTCTCATGGTACAAAAGTTCAGTATTCATAAACAAACCATGAATTCTGTGAAGATGAATATAAGAAAGTATTGTTTGAATGGCAGACCTAGTTTTACACAGAAGGTGACTGCCTCATTTAGACGGGAAGTCCAAAGTAGCATTCATGGTGGTTGAAACTTTGAAGTAACTAGTTAGCAAGTATGATTGTGACTGCTATACCAGTTACTATACTATTGAGAGAGCTCCAAAACAAATGGGGAGGGGGGGGAGAGAAAGAGGAGGAATCATCCCTATTCTGTTCTCCAGAAGATTATGAAAGCAAATATTTTAATTGTTTTCCCCAAGACTGTTTTATGTATGCCTCGATCCTGGTGCATGCCTGCAAAACGCATAGAGACTTGTTGTTACTATTTAACTTGAGTATGCTCACTTCAGGCTTTCATAATAATTAGCAGAGAAGCAACTGCCAAAGTGTTCCAGATTTCACAGTCTGTTCACACAAACTATACTCTGTTTTAGTTTTGAAAACCAAAATACATAAAAAATGCTGGAAGGTAAGCCAACATTGTGGTGAAATGACAATGCATCAGAGTCGGAACGAAGAAGGGGGAATCATGGAGAGTCACATCCTAGGAGTCCAAGGTTGTAGTAAAAAAAAAATTATGTTGGGGTGGCCTGAATATAATGAGGATGGCTAGAGTACAGTCTGTCCTCTGTACCCACAGATTCTTTATCTATGGATTCCATCATCCATGGCTTGAAAATATTTTTTTTAAAAATATACATTCCAAAAAGCAAACCTTGATTTTGCCATTTTATGTAAGGGACATTTTTCATAATATGCTACTATATATAATGTGAATTGAGCATCCACAGATTTTAGTATTTATAGAGAATCCTGGAACCAAACCCCAGCAGATATCAAGGGCCCACTGTAATTACATGAAAAGTGGCTGAGGTATGAAACTTATAAATACATTATTAAAAGGCTCCATGTATCTCACCAGGAAATAAATATGTGCACAGGCAGGGCAAGTGCAGCCTAGTGAGCTCCATGACCAGTCTGTCCCTTCTCTGGGAAATGGCCCTAAAGGCAGGGTGTTTGGTACTCCATACCCCAGTCCCTGTGCTATAGGCCTTGAGATGTCAATAATCACTCAGAGTAAATTATGTAAATTCCTATAGGACTTTAGGCAAAGTCTTTAAGTCCTGTACCTGGCCTGAAAGATCATCTTCTCAAGTGGAGCATTGCTCTCCTTCCTTAACAATTTAAAAGTGTTCTCTGTTTTCATTTTGAGAGCAAGTACTGAGAAAATAACTAGTGATCTGTGCCAACAGTGGCCATACAAATGACTTGTTGACATAGAGAACCTCTGAAACCAATGAGAACAACAAAGATCTGGCAATGTGGTTTGAAATACATGCTTTTAACAAATTTATGCTGAGCTGTAATTTTATATGTGCCACATTATATTTCAATGTTGACTCTAAATCTGCTCCCAATTAATACTGTCCCTTGATATATTAAAATGTAATTATTTTTTACAAAAATGCTGTCATGATGCTCTGCCTGCAGTTTATGTGCAGGAAGATATATTGCTTTGTAGTATTTTGATTGAAAAAGAGCTCCCTGTATCTTTCTGTTAGAGAGCCATTAGGCCTGCCCTTTAGTTTAAAGGGTTGATGCAAGGATGTGAAAGATGTCAATGCATAACACTTCTTTCCATTTTCAGCTTCTGCGCTTAAACATCAGCATCAATACACTAAGTATTTTCCAAAGCTGTAGACTGTATTTTTCTGTTTTTGCATTTTATATAATTGCATTAATTTTTTAAGAAACAAAGATGATTCTAGAATCTCAATGGTATATTGTTACAAAATATTTAAAAGTAACTAATTAATAAGGATAAAATAATACTCTGGATGTAGTTTTCTTTTTTCTCTCAATTGTTTTCTTTTAAATTAAACAATACTTGCAACCAGGATGCTAGTCCTAATGTCCATGTAATGCCTAGGGGGAGAACTAGACATGTCAGTGAACATGGGCTGCTGTTAAAAGTGGTACCCCTGTGTCAAGTCACCTTCTCTCCCCATCACCCCAAGATTTAAGACTAGTTACCCATGTATCTCTTGATGTCACAATGGTTTGCATCTGCTTAGAATTTCTCTATTCTTACTCTACATTATTGGATGCCATTAATAGGAGTGGGGAAATGCAGAAGTATCTCTGCCTAAATAATAAGGGGCAGGGGAGAGGACCTAATTCAGGGCTACTATATTTTCTCCTGGCACGTTGTATGCAGTTATGAGAAGACTTTAGTTCCACTTTTTCTGGCTGTGTGTAGACAAAATGCATACTTAGTTACAATTGATTGGATCTGCCTATGGTGGACAGAAGGTGTTTCCATTTCCAGGGATTTAGTTTCCTACCAAACCACAGCTCACCTATTCAGCAGGATCCCTTGACCCTGTAGCATTTTGAAAGGTCTGTAGAGACTGCCATGAAGAAAAAGATGGCGGAAATCTGTACCTATGATCCCATTATGTCAATATCCATTCCCAGGCTTTCTGTAGTTAGGAGTCTCATTTATTTGCTCATGTGTATGGCCCTGAATGAGTGAGTAACCATATGTAATTAGCTTTTCCAATTATTAAAAGTCTTCGGAATAAAGCACAGGCTTAAATGAGAGGCAGCATAGTGTAGTGGTTTGAGCAGTGGACTGTGACTCTGGAGACCAGGGTTTGAATCCCTGTTCGGATATAGAACCCACTGGGTGACCTTGGGCAAGTCACATTCTCTCAGCCTCAGAGGAAGGCAAAGGCAATCCCCCTCTGAACATATCTTGACCCAGTGACCTTAGGATCCACATATGTCAGAAAAGACTTGGGGGTACACAACAACAACAACAGCAGGCTTAATTGATTTTCTTGTTAAGCAAGTGCCATGCTCCTTTTTGCCTAGCTTCCTCATGTTTCTAACTATGGGTTTGTT